GCGGGGGCGGCGACGACGACGCGATGTGCGTTGTCGAGGTAGCCATGGCCGCGGCCGTCGAGGCGACGACGCGGCCGCCGCGCGGCGGGCGCGGCGGGAAGCACCGCCAGAAGGCGAAGCTGAACCAGAGCCTGCAGCAGCTGGCCGGCGCGGCGGACGCGGCGGCGGCGCAGGCGTACGTGGACGCGTGCCTCAACGTTTACAAGAAGCAGCACCAGGGGGACGCCGCGAGCCTCGAGCTGCTCACCAGGCATTTGGTGCGATTTTCGAGGCTGTCGCTGTGTGTGCGCCTGCGCATGAACACGTGCTTGTGTGTGCGTGCGCGTGTGCGTGCGCGTGTGCGTGCGCGTGTGCGTGCGCGTGTGCGTGCGCGTGTGCGTGCGCGTGTGCGTGCGCGTGTGCGTGTGCGTGTGCGTGTGCGTGCGCGTGTGCGTGTGCGTGTGCGTGCGCATGTGCGTGTGCGCGCGCGTGTGCGTGTGCGTGCGTGCGTGCACGCGCATGTATGCGTGCGTGAGGGTGCATACGCGGGTGCGCACGGTGCGCGGTGGCATGCGTGCAAGCGTATGCAAGTGGTTTCACAACCATGAGCTCAGGTGTGCTGTGAGCCTTTCAACTCTGTCTGAGAGGATCATGGCGCCTCAGAGGGGTCTGGTCACGGACCCAGCTGCCGGGCAGCACTGCTCGCGGTGCCTTGCACCACGCACGTGCGTCTCAGGACGTGCCCGCGGCGATCTGCACCTCCGCAATTGCTGGCTAACAAAAGGATGGCAACAGGCCCATGCAGCTCACGCTCGGCGCACGACAATACTTGCATCTTCTGCATCCATCTCGTGCCCGCCCTTCGTCGTCCCTCCTAGCCCCCAACCCGACTCGCGCCCCACCACCGCCTCACCCCCCCCCTTCCCCGCTCCCCGTGCGCGCGGCCCCACGTCCAGGCGTACCTCATAGGGGGCGTGGTTCGGTTCAAGCTCGAGGGACTGATCCCCTGGTCGGCCCTGCCGGTGCCCGCGCCCTCAGAGTTGGCGGACAAGAGCCGCACCCCCACCTACAAGGCCTGGCTCTGCCGCCTCGGGGTCGTGACGCCAGAGGCGTTCGCGGACGGCGGCGACCCGGGCACGCCCATCCCCGGCTCGCCCTGCGGCGGCGCGCCCGCCGGGTACGGGCTGCTGGCATGAGGGGGCGGGGGGCCCCGCGGCGCGGGCGGCTGCGGGGCCGGCGGCGCCGGCGGGGCGGGGAATGGGCTGCTGAGGTGCGGCGCCTGTCGCCACGGGCGCCCTCTGTGACCAGACCGCACCGCAGCACCAAATCCTGCCGTCATGAAAGTCGTGGCAAAACGAGCCGCAGGATTATGGGCAAACCAACGGCGCCCCCCCCCTCCTGATACGGGGAGTGGTGGCAGGCGCCCCCTCTCAACAACAAAGCCCACACCCCTCGTGAGCTTCCGCGTGGCCCCTCGGCCCCTCGGCCCCTCGGCCAGCGCCTCTTTGAAAGTCGATGTGCGCGAGCTGCCGTCACTCTTTTGGCCACCCATGCATCAATCATTTGGTAATGCGCACACCGCGCAGCTCGCTCTATTCCCTGACAACGCATTGGTCGCTGCGAGAGGCGCGAGTCGAGCATCGCGTTGCGACCTCACTTGACAAGGCCTCGCAGCTGCAGCTGTCACTGCTCCCATTCCCGAGCGATTCTGTGAGGGCGGGGCCTGGCTGATGTCATTGCCCTCGCCCTTGACGGCCGCCCCCTTCATTGCCTGGCCCCAAGCACGCCATTGTGCAGAGCACCCCAGCCCGCCCCGCCGCCGAGGAGGCGGCGGCCCGCTCAGAGCCCTATGGCAGGCGGGCTGCCCGGGTTTTTGTCTGTGAGCTCCCTCCTAAGGGCTCTAGACCCACATTTGCTTCCAGCCTTTTCCCTGCCTGGAGCTTCTCTGTATGTGGCACGGCCAGTGGGGGCATCTGGGGCCCACCCCGCCCGCCAGGCTGCATGCCACCCTGCACACCGTAGGCGCGCTGCGCCGCGCTAACTGGTCCCTTTCTTACGCCGCACCAAGCGCGCGGCCCCTGCGGCTCCAGTACTCTGGTGTTGGGGCACCCCCGTGCTTGGAGACGGGCTGTGGCTGCGCCGGACTTTAACTGGCATGTCCTGCGTGCGACAGCCCGGCCCCAGGCCAGGAAGCTACCCAGCCGGCTGTTGATGTGCTGCAATGTAGAGTAACCGTGGGCATAGAGGTACCCTGGTGCAGGATGCCAGGATCTGTTGGTGGAGGACTGGTGCAGTGCTGGGGGACCGGCTTGCTGTCATCCTTGCACACGCGCCAAGACGATTCCTCCTCGCCCATCTGCACATGCGCCCTACTAGGGTAGTTGCAGACGACTGCCCTGCTGTCTGCCCAATCACGAGGAGGCATAATCCATTTACTGTGGAGTTGCGGTCAGCCGTCTCACCGGCGGCAGTGGCAAGTGTGCGGCGAGCAGAGTGCCCAAAGCGCGCGGGGCATCAATTTTACCTGTTCCACCCGGACTGGAACCCGAGCACGACAGCGAGTGTCCAGAGCAGTAGGAGGGCTTTAGCAGGCCGAATATCCACGGCTATAGATGTGGCACCCACGTCACGTATCGGGATGCCCTTCGTCCTGGCACTTCCTCGCACTACTCACTAGTGATGCTATCGTGAAACTCGACATCAACTTTCCGACGGCCCCCCGGGTTCATTAACAAATCTTTGCTCTTTAGACATTTCTAGTGATTCCCATCGATTAGACGACCCGTTGCCTGCCCACACGACAGTGACGGCGACAAAAGCGCCTTGCACGTAGCAACTCGTCGCTTGGCCCCAAATCTACACCCTCGGCGCACGACATGATGATGAAGGCTGTTTTACTGCTTGTTTTGGCCTTGGGAGCAGCCCAGGTGCGGGCTGTGCATGTTACGGAATCGTAGTCTCCGATCCTTTGCGGTCTGCCCCGGTGCAAGGCAAACAAATACTATATATTTCCCTCGAATAATTGTATCGAGCTGGCTGTGGTACGGACCTACCCCACGGCACCCCACCACAAGCCATCCCGGCACCACCGACGGCAGCACTGAGCGCTTGCTATAGGAACAATCTGCCAAGCCATAATCGATACTGTACTGTGCGTCTTGGCCGGTCCCCGCACTGCACTGACCGAGCGACACGTGTAGTGACGCCTCCGTCACCAGGCCTCCCCTTCCGCCACAGCGCGCGCGCATCCCCTTCCGGCGCCGACTTCCCCGCACCCCCGCCGCCGCCCTCGCCGCGCGCGCAGGCTGCCGACCCCCTCAGCGCGACCGCCGCCATGGACAAGGACGTCTTGTCGAGCCGGGCCGCCTCCATCACCGCCTCGCAGATCCAGCAGGCCGCCAGCGGCAACACCCCTGCCGCACAGGCCACCGGCGTGGGCAAGCTGGCCACCGGGGCCACCAGCCTGAGCACCACCGGCCTCGCCACGTCTCGGGGTGAGTCGATTCCTCCACAGGGCCAGGCCGGCGCGCACGGCTGCGTGCGGGCGAGCGTCGCACCTGCCAGGCCGGCTGGGAATGGCCCCAGCCGCTTTGGCTCCCCACGGCGGGCTGCCTATGTGCCACAGTTGCGTCACCCGCCTGCGCTGCCCTCCGTGCGTGGCATGCACCATCGGATGCGTCGCGATGCCACACACGGCTGCCAACCCCGTCACGCCCCGTGACACACCTCGCGTGCTGCGCACGCCGTCAGTGTCTGTTGCTCCACCCCCTGCCGCGCCCTGCCATTGCCAGTCTTGCCGCGACTGTCGCTGCCCCTAGCCCTTCACCCTCCCCTGCCCCCTCACGCTGTTCAGGCGGACCACTAGATAATACATGCAAACCGCACCCTTCCCCTTCAACTCACCACACCCGCAACACCCCACCCTATCAAAACACAGACGTCCAGAACCAGGCCATCCTCACCCGCACCCAGTCCGGCATCAACTCCGCCGCAGGCGGCCAGCAGACCGCCATCAGCCCCACCGCCGCGGCCGCCGCCATCAGGGGAGTGCAGCAGGTGGCCATCGGCTCAAGCGACAGGGACCAGCGCGGCCAGCTCAGCGGCCTCAACACCCGCGCGGCCATCCAGCAGGGCAACGCCCAGCAGGGCGTGGCCGCGGGCGCGACGGGCGCCTCGCTCATCAGCGGCACCGGCGGCCTCAACCCCGCGGCGCTGACCGTGCCCAGGAACGCGCCGATCACGGCCGCCGGCAAGGCCGCCGCCCCCAGCCCCAAGGCCTCCCCCAAGGTGGCCGCCGCCGCCAAGTCCCCCGCGCCGAAGACCGCCCCCGTCGCCGTTAAGGCCCAGCTGCCCCCGCAGGGCGCGGTGCTGCCCGCGGGCGTCGCGGCCCCCAAGACGGCCGCGGCCGGCGGGCGCCGCCTCCACATGTAAGGGCGCATGCACATTAGTCAAAGTGTTATCCTGCGCTGGCGCCCTGGTTCGCCCGCAGGCCCGCCTCCAGGCGGGACGCACAGCTGGCAATGGCCAAGCGCCCTGCTGCTCGCAACGTGTGCTGCTCTCCCTTTCAAGTTGCGACACTAGTTGCGAACTCTTGTCCTCACTTGTTCTGCGGACTGATGCTTGCATGCTTGACAAGCGAGTCGACCGACCTCAACGCAATTGCCTGCTCCTTGCAGATGGCTTTGTGTAGTTTGCCTGACCCCTCAACTCCTGAGGCTTGCATTTGCTGCAAACAACAGATGCCTGCCTTTGCCGCGGGCAACTGATGCAAGTTGTGCACTGCTGACCCGCCCAGTCGATTGCAAACGTGGAAACTCAGTCAAACCCAGTCAAGGTCTCTCACACATCAACGCCATGCTGCACTTCATTCTCAGAACGCAAACAGCATAACCCTGTCAATCACACGCTCTTTGTAACAGATGCCCAACATTGACTGTACTAAGTGCTTGTCCCTTGGATTGCATTACTGTGTGCAGCCCGCTGGTTGGATCTAGGAGGTGCAGTGTGCAGAGCCAAGGCCGCCCTCAATGTGTTGTCGCAGCCTGGAATCATCCAGTTTCGACTCAAAAACTGCGACACAGCGCCTTTGTGACTGGGAGGGGCAAAGGCAGCTGCCCCGCAGCGCCGCGCCGGCGCGGCCGCCCGCTTGTGTCACACAAGCGTCAAAGTGGCCAGGCCACGCAACTGCGCAATGCCGGCATGTTGGTCCCTTGCTTCTCAATTGAGAGCTGCCGGTTGGCTGCTAAACCGCCAGCAGAGCCTTGCAATGCAGCAAGGACGTGCTTGCAATCATAGCAAAGCTCGACAACCCAAGGCCGTCACTGGGCGGCAGGGTCTGGTGTGGTGAGGTCTAGAGTCCAAGGTTATAGCGGAAGCGCTGAGAGGCTGTGACAGCCCCACACGACACGCCCAACCAGGTGATGCAAGGAAACTTTAAGGCGGATGGTCTTACACAGATCCATTGACTTATTGAAGGACAGCAAAAGCGTGCGCATGGCGATGAAAACGCTCGACCCGACGCGTGCCACGGGAAGGAAACCAAGGCACCGCCGTAATCAAGCTGCAAGCAGGCGGCCTCACGATGATGGGTCGCCGCTGTGCGGCAAGCTGCGGCATTTGGCAGGGGGGAGAAGCAACGTCGGTCAAGGCAAATCACGTGCCCGGGTGTGAAAACCAGTGGCCCCTCCACGCTGCTGCAGAGCTGCTTGCTTGCATATGGGTGCTGGATGGCCCCTGTGCGAAAATTTCAAATCGCTTTGGCATTGTGTACTGACTGCCGCCGCCGGCGCGGTGGTTGTTGGGTGGGTGAATGCACAGGTGTCTTGGGCTGCACGCCATGGACGTTGCGCGACCGCGACGCAGTGCGGGGCATCGGGCGTGGACGTCAGCCAACCAACCACTGACCCAAAACCCCACTGCACACTGGGATCAACACACACCCCCAAGTATGCAAGACTTTGATCACTGCCCCACCCCCACGGCGGCCCCATGCCGAAAAAGTGCCCGAGAAAACGACGACGCAAGTCAAGCTTCAAATGCCTGTGAACAGGCAGGGATGCACTTGCTGCAACGCTGCGTTGTACAAAGCGGGCATCCGTGGCTGCCGCAAATCGAAAAACCCACTCTCTGTGCGTGACGTCCTCAGCTGTGTTTGGGCAGCCGGCGGCGCCCTTGGTCCATCGACATAGCTGTAACGCTCGCAGCTGTGACAGCCCGAAACACTTCCACTCTCACCTTGGGGCGCGCATGGCGCCCGCCCCAACATGGCCTGGTGGAGATCAAGGGCAGGGGAGCTACACCCCTCAAATGCCGCCATTGCCTCCCCCAGTGCCGCTGCTGTCGCGGGCACCGCTGTGGGCACCGCTGTGGGCACCGCTGCGGCAGCAGGTGAGGCCTATGCAGGGGCGCCGACGCTCGCGCCTGGCGCGGCACGCGGGCTGCTGTCGCGTCTGCTGCTGTCATCATCCCTCGCGCGGTCCTCGGTCTCGTCCTCTGTCCAGTCTTCAGGATCCACGTCACCAGGAGGCAGGCGCATGCTGGCTGCATGGAAGGAGCGGCGCGCCCATGCGGCGTCCATGGATGCGGCCGCGGGCGCGTTGTGCTGCGCGGCCTCGCCCAGCTCGACGCATGCGTCAACTGGGGGCGTGCGCGACCCGCACATGCCGCACATGCCGTCTGGCATCTGCTGCGCCGGAACAGCAGGGCAGGCAGGCGGCGGGTTGGGAGGGAGCAGGCGCACGCAGCGGGGCAGGGAGCCAGCCCAGCGCAGCAGGTGCGAGCAAGGGCGACGCAGGAGGAACGTGGGACGTGCGGGGTCAGGACTCAGTCGGCATGCAGGGGCCCTCACCAGCAAATAGTATGGAACGCCAGTCCCTGAGGGAGCGCTGCCAACTGGCGCTGAGCGGTGGCTAACAGGCGGTTGTGCACTGTGTGGTGCGCCGACTGTGAGCGGGTGCAGCGCCGTTGCCGTCCGTTGCCTTTGAGTGCACGCCACACTCAGATGGTGTTTGAATCACTTCACAAACGGCGGAGTGCGCTTTGGTTGTGCACTGCGACGCTGCCAAAATGTTCAGATCATGTATGCAGCGAGCGTCCGCAGCTTCTATGATATGCAAACTTTACCACTACAGATGCGCAGAGGCAGGACCCCTGGGTGGTTCTAGCAAATCTGACCGGGCCGCGGGCGTCACCAGTGATGTCAGACGCTTCCATCATGGCTGCTCTTCCTGTTGCCAGAACCCGTCGCAACGTCTCCATTGCACTAGAGACGCCATACCTTGAGCATAGATGATCCCTGGCACCAAAGGCACTTCAGCTGCATCGCGCGCCTATGCTGCGTACACCCAAGCCTCCCCCCTCAGCGCCAGCTGCGACATTGACGCGCCACATCAAGTGGCCGAGGGCGACACTTGCACTGGTTACAAATATTGCAGGAGACAGCATTGGCTTGGAGGCACTGATGCGGGCATCCGTGCTCTTTCGTTGCCATACAGCCAGCGCGCAGAGATAGGGAGCGCCAGGTGCCAAAGGGAGCGCTCCGCTGCTAGAGCCCGCACACACAACCCTCACCGCCCCATGTTTGCCACGAGGCTTCGCAACGCAAGAGGGGGCCGGACAGCGGGCTTGACGCGGCCGCCGCAACACACGCCCAGTTTTCGCACAGACCTTCTTAAAGCAATCGCATGCATTCACAACTAGTGTATGGTGAAAAGCAGCCGACGACAAGACACAGGCTGACGAGCCGGCGGAGCAGCAGTGCGTGCGGTTGCAGAATCCCAGACCTGCAGCTGGGACGCCCTGATAAACCACCCATGCCGGCGTGCGAGAGACAGGTGGGGCTGGCGGCCGCACCACAAAACCTTGCAGTGGCATCAAAAAGGTGCTGCCTGTTAGGCTGGGCGCATGGGTGGGGCCCTCACAGCCAGCAGCTTTGCGCACCTCGGCGGAAGTGGCGAAAGGGCCTCCTGGCCTCAGGCTGGGTGTGCAGAATCGAAAAACTGGCGAGCAGTGTCGGTCCAGCGGAGGAGGGCATACGCACATGGAAGCAGGATTGTCAATGCAGATGCGCGTGTCGCGAGCGGTGGGCGTGCGAGCGACGGACACGTGTGGTGCGTGATGAACTTGGCCTAGGTGGAGACGCACAGGGGAGATTGTCCTGCAGCACCGAGGCGACGAGGAAGAATCACCGCCCAGTCGCAAGTGAGGTTTTGTGCGGCCCTCGTGACGGAGTTGCAGAGAGAGCACAGGCAGTACATAATCGAGCGTCGCTGCTGATAGGGGCCATGCGCAGTCAAGGCGCAGCATGGCCCCTCCTGGGTTGCAGCAGAGCCTCAGGCAAGACAAGCCAAAACTTGCGCCAAAGTAAAGGGCTCCAAGAATCATACCAGCAGTTCATTTCGTTGTTGGTGCCATCAAATGTCGCTTTCTTTGGCAGGCCAATGCAAGTCCATGTTGCACATTGTCAACGCGGCGGATTGTTGTGTTGGACCGCAAGTGTGTGTCCGGGGGCATGTTGCCATCCCAGATCCCGCCGCAACGCCGCCCACCGCCTGCAGCATACTGCGGCGGTGTGTGGCTGATCCAAAGCCCGGACCCCGCAACCCACAACCAGCATGTTGGGTGTGACTGACCCAATCTTCTTGAGAGCTTTGGACAATACTAAGGTCAGAGGCCGTGCTCAAATTGCCCGCCTGTGCCTCGTTGCAGCAGGGAAGATGCCCTTGCCGAGTTGATGCCCATGCGTTGCCAGGCCATGCCCCTACACCACTACACTGCCGGGCACTGGGAACGTAAAGCCGGGGCAGAAGCCATCGGCTGGCTGGTCCGTGGGGTGGCCCGGGCACTGGAAGAGCACCTCTTTCATGCAGCCAGCGTCCTCATGCTGCAGGTAGCTGCGCCGCGGAGTGTCCGGGCGGGCGGGGGAAGGGATGGCGTGCGGCCGGAGGGTGGTCGTCGGTCAGCCAGACAGCCAGAGGGAGGGCAGCGCAGGCGGTCAGCAGGTGCAGGGGCAGGGGCAGCAATAATAGGTGTGTGGGCTGGACGAGTGCATGCTGTGGGGTGGCTTGAGATGTCAAGGTGATTTGGCAGGTTCAGGGTTGGCAGGGTGAGTACGTGGGGACTTCGAGACTATAGAGACCAGGTGTAAATCAGGGAGGTTGGGCAAAAAAACGCGGCGGAATGAAGGGCTGGCAGTAGAGTTGCCTGAAGTGTGGGGACCAAGCCCGCACTTTCCCACGCATGTGCACGCACACGCACAGAAGGTGCTAGGCATTTGCACAATTGTGCACGCACAATTGCGCGCGCGCACACACACACACACACACACACGTAATTGACTCACTGGCAGTGCATGAGGCTGTACCCGGTGTACTGGCCCGGCTGAAAGCGCAGCTGGTAGGAGCCAGGTAAGGCCGCAGCATTGAAGGGATACAGGAAGGTATCATACCAGTCGCCAACCTGAGCAGGAGAGCCAGGTTGAAAATTGGGTGTGCTGGTGTGTTTCTGCATGTGTGTATTCGTTCGTTCGTTCGTGCGTGCGTGCATGCTTGCGTGTGTTAGTGCAGGTGCGCGCGCATACGTGAGAGCGGTGGAGGGCAGGCGTGCAGGCGCGGACGAGTGTATGTGTGTGTGTGTGTGTGTGTGTGTGTGCGTGTTTGTGTGTGTGTGTGTGCAGGCGTGTGTGCAAGCGCATAATCGCATAGACTGTGTGGCATGGGTGATGTGCTTGGGGACGCCCTTCGGTCTACGGGTGCTATGCGCGTCTCAGCCAAAGCTCAGTCATCACAGCCAGGTCCCTGTCGGCGCGCCGTCCCTGCGCTCGTCATCCAGCGCACCTTGTAGAAGCTCGTGGGGCGGTTGCCGGGAGCGGGCGCGTTGATTGTCTCGTTGATCGCCACCAGCTGGAACGGGTTGGCGTGGACGTGCAGGACGTGGAAGAACACCTGGGTTGGGAGGGTGTGCATTATGGGGCAGGTCGGGCGCACGGGAAACTCGTGTTCAATCCTGATCGTGGTAATATGTCAGCATCGCCTGCCTCACGCCGCCAAGCTCTGATGTCTTTGCCATGCACGCACGCTGCTGCCTCCAGACTCCCCCCCCCCCCCCCCCCC